GGGTAGGTGTGTGGCTGCGGGGCATTTGAAATATAATTATTTTAATGGTGTTGTGAAGTTTCAAACTATCCTTGTGAAGATGAAATGAGCTAATGTATAGTACTTGGCATAATGTCTCGCATGAGGAAAGAGCCCCATGTTGATTATTACTGTTAGTAAAAGGATACTAAAAATCTGAAGAGAGAGGTATTATTATTATTTCCATTTTCTAGCTAGTAAGTGTTGGAGCGAGCTGCTGTCAAGTCTATTCTGACTTTGATGACCCCGTGTGTCAGAGTCGAACTGTGCTCCATAGAGTTTTCAATGGCTGATTTTTTTTGGAAGCGTACTGCTAGGTCTTTCTTCCGAGGCATCTGTGGGTGGATTCGACCCTCCAGCCTTTAGGTTAGCAGCCAAACTCACTGATTGTTTACACGACCGCCGTGAGTCAGAATTGATTAGTTGATAACTGGTTTGTAAGTGTTAGAGCCAGCGTTCAAACCATATTTTCCAGATGATGAATGAATTTAACCACCCCCCACCCAGTGTTTGGCACCACTGAAAGCTGTAACAAGATGAAGAAGTAACCTAATGTAACTCTACAATATAGTGCCGTAGAGCAAGAAAGGAAGATGTACGGCAGAGAACTGACTATCCCCAGTAGTTCATGTTTTTGTCAAAGGATCAGTATCATTTTATTTTCTAATTGATTTTAAGAGCTTTCTGCCAGGGCCCTCTCTGGACAGTCAATAAAATGCCCGAGACGTATGGGTGTTCCCTCACTTAAAACCCCAAGAAAACCAAACTCACTGCAGTCGAGTTGATTTTGACTCATAATGACTCCATAGGGTTTCCTGAAGCTATAAATCTCTACCAAAGCAGACTGCCACATCGTTCTCCCGCGGAGCGGCTGGTGGTTTCAAACTGCCAACCTTTCGGTTAGCAGCTGATTGCTTTAACCACTGCACCATCAGGGCTCCTTAGGTTATGGGTAAGAAATAAACCAAGAAGTGCTTATGAATTGTTGTTCATGTCACACTCAAGGGCATGGGTTGAAAGGGGTCTCTAGCCTTCATCTGGGGTATTCTCTGATTTCTGGCAGGAATGTGACTAAACCGTTCCCGAATTGGTGGATTAACTCAATATAAACGATCTGTAAGAAAAGAAATTTCCCAACTTTCATTTACATTAACTCAGTTTAGGATTTCATAATTCTTGCTTTTGGGAAAATGTTCAATTCCCCTAAGAATATAGGCATCAAACACAGTGGGTATCATTAGATTTACCAAGGCAAACACAAGTGAAATACAGTGAATTAGCCTAGAGAGTAGGGATCTGCCTTATCAATCTTCAAATCCCATATAATGCTGAGCACAGAACATTACAGATAGCAGATGTCAAATAAGTGCTTATTAAATTGAACTGAACTGAAAGGCAGGGGGAAAGTTATCAGGTCAGCAAAGGGCATTATTGACTTGAGGCTTCACTGCTGTGTTTTAGTTTTTCATTTGCTGGCATAAACACCTGGATTCCATTAAAAAAAATTATGTGAAACAAGAAAAATGCTGATTTTTCTATAAAGATCAATTATTTATTCTACAAAACTTTATCGAACACCATGTGCCCAGTCACTGCCAATGTTCTGAATGTTTTAGGTGTATGCTTAAAAACCAAACCCCTGCTTTAGAGTCGATTCCAACTCATAGGGACCCTATAGGACAAAGTAAAACTGCCCCATTGGGATTTCTAGGCTAAAATCTTTATGAGAGTAGATCGCCAGATCTTTGAACCACCAACACTTCAGTTAGCAGCTGAGCACTTAATCACTATGTCACCAAAATCCACCAAAAAATCAAACTCATTGCCGTGGAGTCAGTTCTGACTCACAGCAACCCTATAGGGCAGACTCCCTCATAGGATTTCTAAGGAGTAGCTGGTGGATTTGAACTGCTGACCTTTCAGTTAGTAGCTGAGCTCTTAACCACTGTATCACCAGGGCTCCTTGAATGTGTGCTACTATGTTTTAAATAACAGTATTATAATAATAACCCAAATTGATTCCACGTGGCACAGTGGTTAAGTGCTGGGCTGCTAACTGAAAGGTCGGCTTTTCGAACCCACCAGCATCTCCGTGGGAGAAAGACGTGGCAGTTTGCTTCCATAAAGATTACAGCCTTGGAAACCCTACGGGGCAGTTCTACTCTGTCCTATAGGGTCGCTAGGAGTCGGAACTAACTGGAAGGCAATGGTTTTGGTTTTTTTAAACTAATTAAAAGTTCCTGATGCAAGTAGGATTTAATGAGCTGCTACTCACAGTTTGCTATGAACCCTTCAATGAATGTGGTCCTGTTGCTTAATACCACTAACCACATGTCAAATCCCTTGAGGCCACCATTAGGTAACCTATACCTCCCCATCCCCAACCTTAACCTTACGGAATTAACAGTGGGTTAAGAAAGGTAGCATGGCGGTTAGAAAAAAATAATGGACTAGAAACTCGGAAACTGAGGCTCCAACCCTGGCTCTGAAGCTGTCAAATCACTTAATTCAGTGGGAATCCGTTTCTCTATCTGTAATATAAAATGAATTATAAAGACAGTAAAGCCTCTTTTAAGTCTGACAGTTCATAATCTTAAATTAATAGACCTAATTAAGCCTAACTTCTAGGAGGAAGATAATAAACTTTACATTATACAAATTTTGGTTCAGTTCCTATTAATGATGCAAAAATTTCCCTTTCCTGTGTTGTAACATCAAAAGGACTGATCACTCTCTATATATGCATACAAATATATATACTTACATATATGTAATTGCATATATCCACCTCTCACCTGTCAGTTTGTTGCACTGTGTGGCTTAAATGTTTCATACGATGCTGGAAGCTATGCCACCAATATTTCAAACACCAGCAGGTTTACTCATGGTGGACAGGTTTCAGTGGAGCTTCCAGACTAAGACAGACTAGAAGAAATGCCTGGTGATCTACTTCCAAAAATAAGGCAATGACACAATACTGTCTGATACAGTGCTGAAAAATGAGCCCCCTAGGTTGGAAGGCACTCAAAACACACACTGTCAAAACAATAGACTTGAGCATACCAAAATCTTGAAGATGGCACAGGACCAGCAACGTTTTTGTTCTATTGTACTTGGAATCACCATGAGTCTGAGTTGACTCCAAAGTAAATGACAATAATTACATATATATGTAATCATCTTTTTTTTAAATGGTCACCAAGAACACATTTTACAGGTGATTCACCCTTCTGTGCTTTGCCAAATATACTTGCTGACTTGGCTACAGCATGGATTTCTTCACTTCCCTTCATAAATTTCCTTTTCAGAAAGAAGAGGGATTGAATAAGGATGGGCGTAGGAATGGCTAGGAGCCCTGGTGGTGCAGTGGTTAAGCGCTTGGCTGCTAATCCAAAGGTCTACTGTTCCAACCCACCAGCTGCTCCAAACCCACCAGCTGCTCCATAGGAGAAAGATTACAGTCTGAGAAACACTATGGGGCAGTTCTACTCTGTCCTTTAGGGTCACTATGTGTTGGAATCAATTCGAAGGCAGTGGGTGGGGATGGTGGGAGAAATGACTAGTGTATATTTATGTTCTTGCCAAAACCTAATTTTTATTTTTAAATTTAAGTTAAAATGGTCCCTCAAATAACCTTTGTTTGTGACCGCATCATTCTTGTGTATCCTAGGAAGTTAAAAGGTTTCAAACCTTAAGGAGGAGTTTGCTGTAGTTGAATTTCAGACATCTCCTCTGGCTGATGTTGGATACGAAGGAGGAGAGCAAACTGTGGGAAGAGAGATTTAGTCAAAGGCCTAGGGGGAAAAAAGAAAACTGCATCAATAGGTGATTTCAAATGGTCACTGGAGGCCCCATTCTTGCTGCAGGGAGGAAGGGGTGAGTGATAAGGCGCACCTACGTCTGTTTTAGTGGCTTTAAAATATATTGCGCAAGCAGCGACCTATCCAGGTCACCTGACTCTCAGAAAAAAATAAAACCCTCAAGTTAAGAAATCTAAAATGTTCAGATATTTACACCTTTAAAAAGTTGTAGGCGAACACCTTTATGAAAAGCATTTCATTCGAAGGCAAGGTCTGACCTGTCACATAACCCATTCCACGGAGTTTGGCACGCCCACGGTATCTTGGGGCTGCTCCTCCAACGCCGACTACAGCAGCGCCACGCACCAAGCACCGCACACGGAACGCCGCGTACCCGGCCCAGTGCAAAAGCACCAGGACTCCCAGGGCGCGCGCCCGGGGTCTGAGGTGGGGAAGGCGTGGAAGTGGTTCCCTAGGAGCATCCAATCAGCAGCGAGGCTCGGCGGTGGCGCTAGTGACGTTTCCCGCGCTTCCCTCCGCCCCACTGCGGGACTACGCTCGGAGCCTTCAGCCACGCGAGCTCGAACGCGAGGGGCGGGGGAGGAGCAGTGTCGTGGGGCCAGCCGGCTGTCGGAGGGCGGCTGGGCGGAGAGTGAGCATGCGCAGCGCGCTCTGCCAGCTGGAGAAGCCGGGGGTGGGGTCCCGCGCGCGCGCGCGCGCGCGCACGAGCGGTCCGCCGGCGGCCGC